TCAAATCATTGTTCGGTATGTATGCATTGCATTGTTAATTAATTGATTTTTGAATCCGGACACAAAAAAGAAGATCGTCCTGACTCCTGTGTTTGACCCAGGGGTTATCAGACTGATTTCTAGCTTCTCCTGCAGCCTAATATCAAAAAATCTGCTCTGACGTATTATTGATGTTCTCTTCTAGCTGCCTTTTTCACAACCAAATGAAAACCAACAGTCCTGTTTCATTTCCAACCCAGATCGATTGATTGCATTCAGCCACTAGACGAATCAGATTACAAAAGCCTAATTTGATTCTTGTGAGCAGGTACGAACTACTCGAGGACAGCTCAGCTGATTGGTCGAGACAGATGCCTCTCAAAATTAAAACACAAAAAGCCTAGAAGCCGAAAGGAAGTCAAATTTTCTTAATCAAGGCAGTCGAAGAGGAGATGAGACCTGTTTGTGTCTCCTCGTCCCAACAGGACCCTATCATTAGAGAAGAGTACAGGAACTAACCCTCCTCACTCACTAACTAACTCCCCTCAGTATTCAGGACATAATGTTTCCGTTCTGTTCTTTTCTTAATAGTCTTGGAGCTAAATTCAACAAGGAGTTTGATGGAAGTCCATAAAGAGCGCCCGGGGGGTGGGGGGGATAGGTGAAGCTCATTACAGTTGCCATTGCCATTACACAAGATTACTTTGCTTTTGTCACTTACACCTGAATTACACACTATTACAGCTAGTCTTATTTAAACGTAACAAATGTTAGAGTTATCTTATATAGCATTTTAATTTTTATTTTTTCAAGTACATTTCACACATGACATTAAGTAAAGTCCACTGAACTTAGTTAAGTCAAATTAACAAAGTGAATTAGGTAGCCTACATAACAAAAACTTCAACATCAGAAATTCTTTTAAATGTCCAATATAACTAAACATTAAAGAGACCATATGATGATATTTTAAAAGTCCTTATTAGGTCTGTTGGGTGTAATAGGATTGTACTGGGAAAATTAAAATTTGTCATAATTTACTCAGACTCATGTCGTTCCTTGCTGAAGCTCAAACGTGCTGCGTAACACTAGAATGAACCTCATTGGTTCTTGCAGAAGCTCAAACGTGCTGTGTAACACTAGAATGAACCTCATTGGTTCTTGCAGAAGCTCAAACGTGCTGTGTAACACTAGAATGAACCTCATTGGTTCTTGCAGAAGCTCAAACGTGCTGCGTAACACTAGAATGAACCTCATTGGTTCTTGCTGAAGCTCAAACGTGCTGCGTAACACTAGAATGAACCTCATTGGTTCTTTCTGAAGCTCAAACGTGCTGCATAACACTAGAATGAACCTCATTGGTTCTTGCAGAAGCTCAAACGTGCTGCGTAACACTAGAATGAACCTCATTGGTTCTTGCTGAAGCTCAAACGTGCTGCGTAACACTAGAATGAACCTCATTGGTTCTTTCTGAAGCTCAAACGTGCTGCATAACACTAGAATGAACCTCATTGGTTCTTGCAGAAGCTCAAACGTGCTGTGTAGCACTAGAATGAACCTCATTGGTTCTTGCAGAAGCTCAAACGTGCTGCGTAACACTAGAATGAACCTCATTGGTTCTTTCTGAAGCTCAAACGTGCTGTGTAGCACTAGAATGAACCTCATTGGTTCTTGCTGAAGCTCAAACGTGCTGTGTAGCACTAGAATGAACCTCATTGGTTCTTGCAGAAGCTCAAACGTGCTGCGTAACACTAGAATGAACCTCATTGGTTCTTTCTGAAGCTCAAACGTGCTGCGTAACACGAGAATGAACCTCATTGGTTCTTGCAGAAGCTCAAACGTGCTGCGTAACACTAGAATGAACCTCATTGGTTCTTGCAGAAGCTCAAACGTGCTGCGTAACACGAGAATGAACCTCATTGGTTCTTGCAAGTCAAGCAAGATTGAGCTTCTGTTTACAACTGATGTGTGCGTTGATGAATGTTTATATGTGAATAAAAGCCTAAATTAAATATTTTCAATAGATTAATTTTATGATATCTATAAAACTTTTTGAAGCGTCAAAGTGGTAGTTGTCAATGGAGGGACAGAAACCTCTCAGATTTGATTTAAAATATCTTTGTGTTTCGACATTAGGTTGAGTGATGACATTTTTTTCATTTTTGGATGAACTAACCCTTTAACATGCTTTAATGTTCAAAAAACACATGTACAGTGTTTTTCACATACTGTACATTATTGCAACACCTCTATTCCCAGTCTGTCTGAAACGCGCTGATTTCTACAAAGGCCTGGCCTTTCGTTAGAGTCAGTAAGCCAATCCTGTCAATCCATTTCCACACCTCTCTTAACATGTGAAGGCATACATGTTATTCCGCATGCTTCAGTAAGACAAACTGTTCAATCCTCAAAGGACAGTGACATTTGACCAAGGCTTTTGGGGTCAGTTGACCTTGTCCATTGAGCAGTCTATCTCCTCCAGCTGCTGTTCCTTCTCTTTCATGTCTAAAGGAGTGTTGGCTTGACCTGGGGTCCAGTCAGAGATCATTTCACACAAGGACTGGCCAACATTGATGCTTATTATTCTGGCACTCCCAAAAAAAACACTGTCCACTTAGAAAGGGTCCATCCAGTCTGACATGGGAAATGTGTATGTGATTTTTAGGGGCTGATCGGAAATGAATATCATAACAATAGACCTTTATGCAACATAGTGTAACTCATTCAAATAATTCTGCAGCAGTCTTCATCAGAATTCTACAAATGTTTAAAAACCCATTTATACTGTGTGAAAGAAAGAAAAAATTCTATAGTTTCTGAAATTAATTTAAAATGTATTTTATAATTGCCTTTTAACTGTGGAAACGCATCATCAAGGTCTGTGAAAAGGGTCCATGGGAAGGTGTTGTCAATAATTTGTTAACTGGCTGGTTAGAGTAGATCTGCAGCTCATCGGGGCCCCCTGCTGGTGTGGGGCTCTGGGCTAATGTCTGTCTGGGCTACGGTTCATGTGAACGCCTGTACAGTCTGCAGTGGTTTTGAAAGCAATCCAGACTAAGTTTCAGAAGTGAACCGCTATTAAAGACGTATATCATTTGCTTATTAAAGTATAGTGATGGGTGTTTTAAAAGGAATTGTAATTTTAATTCTAAATGGTGTGTGAGTGCGTCATCGTCTTTGTGCTATGATCAGTCCCTTCTGCTTGGTGGTAGTGTAATATTTAGGGATCTAGGCTGCTAAAACAAACATTACAGATTTTGTTCTTGCATCTTGTTCTATTCATTTGAACAATACATTTAAAGGGATAGTTCACATACCTGCCAACTTTTGAGTTTTGCTCGGCGTGAGATTTGTTGACGGGGGGGGGGGCGGGGGGGGGTAGCGACGAGTGAGATTTGTTGACGGGGGGGGGGGGGGGGGGGTAGAGACGAGTGAGATTTGTTGACGGGGGGGGGGGTAGAGACGAGTGAGATTTGTTGACAGGGGGGGGGTGGGTAGAGACGAGTGAGATTTGTTGACGGGGGGGGCGGTCTCGCTCGCGCAAGGTCTCTCGCTCGCTCTACGCGGTTTGGAGCACAATCTCTGTCTCGCATGCACGCTCGCTCTAGATAACGGGAGATTTTTAACGAATTTGCGGTATAACTAGTCGATCACGAGTGGCTCAACAGGTAGATATATAGATAAACTCATCTTCCAGGCATTTGACCGCCCGGGTTGACACTTCAGCGTGAGAAATCGGGAGTGTGGCGTGTGAGCGTGTGAAACCAATCAAATGCGGGTGTCTCACGGCCAATGCGTGAGAGTTGGCAGCTATGAGTTCACCCAAAAATAAAAATTCTGTCAGTAATTACTCACCCTCATGTTGTTCCAACCCCGTAAGACTTTCGTTCATCTTTGGAAAACAAAATAAGATATTTTTGATTAAATCTGAGAGCTGTCTCACTCCTCCATAGGCTTCTAGGTAATTGGAACTTGCCGGCCCAGAAAAGTTATTAAAGACATTGTTAAAATAGTCCAAGTGACTACAGTGGCTCAACCATAAGTTTATCAAGCGACGAGTATACTTTTTGTGCGCAAAAAACCCCCTAAAATAACGACTTTATTAAACTATTCATTTTCTTCTCTGTGGGCCTCGAGTTAGTTCACGGTTCTTTGTTGTACGTCAGAACGTAGGATCACTATTGGCCGACGCTGATTATGAGTGTGATGTAGCGCTGCGCTTTTACACTACGTGAACTCACTCTGAGGCCCACAGAGAAGAAAATGAATAGTTGAATTAAGTCGTTATTTTTGTGTTTTTTTGCGCACAAAAAGTATTCTCGTCGCTTGATAAACTTATGGTTGAGCCACTGTAGTCACTCGACTATTTTAACGATGTCTTTACTAACTTTTCTGGGCCGGCAAGTTTCAATCCCATAGAAGCCTATGGAGGAGTGATCCAGCTCTCAGATTTAATCAAATATATCTTAATTTGTGTTCAGATGATGAACGAAAGTCTTACGGGGTTTGAACAACATGGGGGAGAGTAATTACTGACATAATTTTCATTTTTGGGTGAACTATCCCTTTAACCTGAAGGATTTTCCTATTCTACTGTAGAATGTGCAAAATTATGACTTTAAGATCACTTTAAAATACCATCACTTTATCTTTGTTTATTGACATTCTGTATTGACTGTTGTCCTTTTTATCAGTCTCCTTGGTCTAAGGCTATCTCTCCATCATTTCCTGTTCTTTTGACCTTCATTATCGCTCCTAGGGTGACTGTGGTCTCTCTTTTCCTCCCATTTGTTCTGCCCATTCACATTCATCCCTGTGCGGTGATGATTTGGGCATTCAAAACATAGGTGCAGGGAAACATTTCTCACGCTGAAATGTCCATAAAATTCCTCAGACAAATTTGATAGTCGCACACACAGTTGGCCGTATGGAGGGTTACCTTTGATCGTAGGCAAGTTTTGTACAGGCATTTGTCGTTAACCTAATTCTGATTACCTTTCTCTCTGTTTTTGTGTTTTTAGGGTGTTGATGGAGAGCCTTTCGAATGACAGCCGGGACAGTGGTAATCACAGGTGGAATTCTAGCTACAGTAATCTTACTGTGCATTATCGCTGTACTGTGTTACTGTAGGCTGCAGGTGAGACTCTCTCTGGCTGTCATTTTGCTTCTGTGTCTGTTTTTCTCAGTCTGTCTTGTAGGTATAATGCTGTGTTTTGGTGCCTTCACTTCCTTTAGGAAGTATGACATGGTCTTCTTGTTCTGTAGTTCTTGTTAGATCTCATCCTGTTTTCTGTAAAGAATGTGTCTTCTTGTCACACACACTAACGTCACATCAGAATTGAAAAGTCAGGGAGCGTTATATTTTTCAGATGTATTGTTTTTGTCATTTGAATTGACACTGAAAGAGTCTGCAGTCAAATTGACCAAGTTATATATTCAGAAATAATCTCATAGTGGGAAACAGTGACCAATTTATGTATAAATGAAAATCAGATGGAACTTTGTGAATTTTTTTTTCACTCTTTGTAATGTAATTCAGTTGCAAGAAGTAAGTATACTGTTTCAAACTTTGGTGTCAGTAAGATTTTTTATTTTTTTTTATAAATCTAACCTTTTATTCAGCAAGGACACGTTAAGTTGATCAAAAGTGACAGTTAATATATGTCTAATGTTACAAAAGGGTTTAGGGTTACAAAAGGGTTTTTCCACAAAAATATTGACCAGCACAACCGTTTTAAACATTTATAATAATAATAAATGTTTGTTGAGCAGAAAATCATCAGAATCAATTAGAATGATTTCTGAAGGATCATGTGACTGAAGACTAGAGTAACTTTCCAAAACTTGAGAAGTACTACATTTCCAAAAGGCCAGAAAACAATTGCATTTTTGACCCACTTAAATAGGACTTAAACTAATTAAAGTATTAATTAAAGTATTTATGGTAAACTAAAATATATTTTTACTCTTTCCAAGTCAATTGGTTTCTAAACAATTTCGATTGGATTTTTGGGTGAACTTTGCCTTTAATTCTTTTCAATTTCACATATATATGCTCAGTTCTTTTGTAGAGTTAACCCTTAAACGCATACCTCGGGTCATTATCGGCCTGGGACATCATTCACTACCCTCCCCCTCATTGATTTTTTAAAAATAGACATCAACCTTAGCATTTCTCAATCTATACATGGCAAACAATATAACAAGAAAAAAAAAGAAAAAAAGAATGTCTGTTTTCGTATTAATTTTTGTAAAATTTGTATAGGGTCACACTAGTGACCTGAGGTATGTAATAGTGTAAGTATATTTTTTTCTCCACAACAATAATTGAATCTTTGATGACTGAATAAGTGCAATTCACCTTTATTCCACGAGGCAATTTCTAATACACAACGATGAAGTGATGTTTCACTCATAGTTACTGCAGGCATAAAACAAAAGAATAGGAAGTATCATCAGCGAAACTTGAAATGGCTCAGCGATTTACTGCAGAGCAAGTACTGTTGCAATCAAATATTAGTGTCACTGTCATTTTATGGTGGATCTAGAGAAGAAGCAGTCAGCGATCAAAATATTGATTTTGAAAATGATAGTTTTGAGAATATGTTTGAGATCATGAATATGAGTCAGATGCTGAATGTACTGGGAAATGAGCTCTGGCAAGGACAGCGATGATGGTATAAAACATCAGCTCAAATTGAACCCTTCCAAGCTCAAAAGGTAACGAATTATGCTTTATTTTATTCTTTTGTCATTGTTATTGAAATATCAATGGGGTTTAATCTATTGCGGCATTTAGAGATCCACCCGTGTTAGATATAGATCCGGGTTGGTAAAGACCCAAATATGTAATAATGATTAGTTAAATATTCATGCATTAAAAGGTGAAAATGCGAAGCTGACTCTCTCTCTCTCCTTGCACCCCTCTAGTACTATTGCTGTAAGAAGGAGGAGTCGGAGTCAGAGGAGGAGGAGCCTGACTTCGCCGTCACGTCTCGTCTGCCGCCGGTGCATTCAAATCACAACATCCTGGCGGCCACTGTCCCCACGGCAACCACCCCCAATGGGCCTGCCCTCTTCACGCCCCCGCCGGCACGAAAACTGACACGCTCGCAGACGTACTGTCCGTCCTGTACGCATTACGACCTGCCATTTTACCTGCAGCAGCCTGACAGCCTGCGAAATGGTGGCGAACGCATTAGCTACCGCAGCGTGCATCAGCAGGATTTGGGGATGCCCGCCCCGCTGCCCACTCCTCTGCCCGCCCCGCTGCCCACCCAGCTGCCGATGCCGCTACCCAATTACCACAAACTAAACCTCAGCCGCTCGGTCACCATGAGGGAGATGTTCACGCGAAGCTGCAGCATTAGCACCGACGTGTAGCCAGCCATCCGAACGGTTTATGCTAGATGCTAACGGCTAACTGCGTCAACACAGGCAACAGAGTCAATTCTCATTGAAAAACATAATTCAGCATTCAAGCTCTAGCACTTGCCTGCATAAAAACAATATCCTCTGGAAAACTCCCAGAGTGCCGAGCTTTCAGGAAGACATCCCAGTGTGTTTGTGCGTAACTGGGAACTATAAAGGCAGAAATGGGGTGAGAGCAGAGATCCGGAGCCCCTCTCCCTCCCTCACCCCCTCTGCTTCACTCCTGAATCCCTTTTTTTCTGTTTTCAGTAATTGAAAAGAAGATTCAGAAAATAAAGACACAATGGGACACCTGTTTTTATGCTTTCCTTACATTTGTCTGGGATTAAAAAAAACGTAACAATACACAGAAACGCTTCGAAAATCTTGAATTTTTCAATATACAGTCTGAATTGAAACTTTTGTATTGGTCATTCACGTAGCTCGAGACGTTTTAGCTGGATATTAACTGATATAGCCGCGGACTTTGTTTTAACAAACCAACACATACAGGACAACTTACAAAAAGCCCTAAGCGGCTGCAATAACACTGCTAGATCAAAATGTGACATCAGCAAACAACATGATGTAGGCGTTTGATTTTGAGGTAACGTATGGGATGAGAGGCATTATTTTTTTACTGACAAAAGTTATTGAGTTACCGTGCGTGATTCTAGGTATTTATAGATGTTTTCACGATTACAAACTTTCTTCTGTTTTGGATGTTTAAATTATTTGTTCTTCTTTATTCACATTTCTCCTATCTAAAAAGGTTCAGATTTTTGTTTTACCTGCATTGACATGTTATGATTTCCACTGATTTTTTTTTTTTTTTTTTACAAATCTGGATGTGAGACGGATACAAAGGCTGATTTGATTTCATGGGCTACATTTGCTCTTTCTAAACGCTGCTTGTTGGACTATGAAGAGAACATCTTCAGCCAGAAGGGTTTTCCCTCCCTCTCTCTCTCTCTCTCTCTCTACTGTTCATGCTTACAGAGGCGTCAATTAGCCTATTTCCTGCGTAGTTGATGTGAAAACAAGTGGGGCGTTGCACCGACTTTCTTCTTTTTAAAAATGACGGTGATTATCAAGAATATTTGTTCTGTTTCTAGTTTTGAAAGTGATATTCTTCTCTCTCTGGGTGTGTAGCCGCACACTACAGCCCTGCAGGTGACATTGTGATGATCACCATGTGCTTGTGTTGTGATTTCAATTCTCTCTCCTAGCTCTTCTTTCACTCATTGGGTCCCTTTTCAATCTCACACAGTCTCTCTCTCATACGCGCACACATACACGTTTCAGTGCCTGTTAATACCAACTGTATTATTATTATTATTATTATTTATGAATTGTTTTTGCATCACTACTTTATCACAGTATTTTTGTTTCAGGAATAGGTCAATAATATTGTTTCTTGTTCTAAAGTGATGCCGAAATGTTCCTGTAATTGATAATACAATTAAGAATACTGTGGACAATAAATTGGTTGAAAACTTTTTGGCATGTTTTAAAGTTGAATATGAAGTGAATTTCATAGTTCTCTTACGAGAAGTTCTCACGTATTGCGTAAGCTAGCTTACGCTACGGGAAAGATTAATCTTTTCTGAGAAATTGAAGCCCAAAAATTATCCTATAATTTTTTATCCATTGTCAACGCAGTTCAGTTGCAGCAGACCATGAGCGGGCTAGCTAGCAGCTCATTGGTTCGCTCACAGAGAACTGCTTAAGCCTATGAGGAGACGCGAATGAACTCTCGGCCAATGAGAGTCTGACATGCTCTCATTACGTCAGAGCCCGCCGACACGGGCGTGGTCAGAGAGTATATTACTGGCGTCCTAGGCTGTAAACTCTGATTTTCATCTCTTCAGCGAGGCTACACGCATCTGCTGATCCTGAGAGAAGCCGCCGTCGTCGAAAAGGCAACTCTAGCGAGCGTCTGGGAGACTGAGGAAGCCGGCCGTCTTCGCCACCTTCAGCCGTCCTGCGAGCTAGCGCCATCCGACGGATTTGTATCCTTTTTACAAAAAGCTTCCTGTACATTTTGTTTCTAAAAGAGCCGAGCGTCTTTATAAATGTCTCGTATATCTTCCTGCGGTTCTTGCCGCGCTCCCCTCGAGAATGGAGACCGCCACGTCATCTGCGCTCTCTGCCTCGGATTGGAGCACGCCGAGCTCGCCCTCGCCGATGGCGGCTGCGATCTCTGCGAAGACATGCCGTTGTCGACCCTGCGGGCTCGACTTCAGGCCACTAAAGTTGCTTCCGCGCCGCCTCTGACTTCGCAGCGGAAGAAGAAACGCCGCTCTCAGAGGCCGCCTGAACCCCAGCCAGAAGCGTTCATTCCGCCGGACCCTGTCGCCTCCCGCTCTCCTTCTCCGCCGCTTCCGGACATACAGTTGCCGCCGAGTGGCCGCTCTGTTGCCTCCAACGACGCCGCGGACATCAAGGAAACATGTTCGCTTCTCGCCTCGGACAGTGAGGAGTGGTCCGGTTCTCACGCCTCCTCGGCTCGAGAATCCTCCGGGACCCACGCTGGAATCGAGGAGGAATTAGTGCGCCTCCTCTCACAGGCCGTCGAACGCCTCGGGCTCGATTGGTCTCCTCCCCCCGAGCAGACCATCAACCGTATGGACGGCAGCTACTTCCACCAGCGCTCGACTCCCGCCACTAAACGGGCCGCGCCCTTCCTGCCTGAACTGCACGCGGAACTCACAAAGTCCTGGAACGCCCCGCTCTCTGCTAGAACACACTCTGACTTCTAGCTTTCACGCACGCGCTTACTCAGCCGCCGGCCAAGCAGCCTCTACACTTCACTCCATGTCCGTCCTTCAGATACTACAGGGTGACATACTTCGTGAATGGGACGAGAGCGGAAAAAATCCCCCTTCAGTCGCGGATTTGAGGAGCGCCACGGACATTGCCCTTCGCGCTACAAAATCTGCTGCTCAAGCCCTGGGGAAATGCATGGCCGCCATTTGTGTGTCTGAGAGACATTTGTGGCTCACACTCGCCGACATGGGAGATTCTGAGCGCGCCGCCTTTCTCAACACCCCGCTCTCTCCATCCGGCCTCTTCGGATCTGCTGTCACGGGTATCGTCGACCGATTTTCCGAAGTGCAGAAAGCCTCCCAGGCCATGAATCTCTTTCTGCCTCGTCGCGCTAGCTCCTCTGCAGGCCGCTCACGTGACCTGCCTCCTGCACGAGCCCCACCCCAGCGCCCAGCTCAGCACAGTCAGACTTTTCAGCGACGCCAGGGCGGCCGCCCTCATTCTCGCTCTGACAGCCGCCACAGACCGCCGCCTCCTCAGGGGCCTCGGCCTAGGATCGCGCTGAAACCCGATCACTCGAAGTCTGCCTAGCACAGCTGAGAAAAAGACGCCGCTCTCCCGCCGCGGCTGGACCGCCGTCAAAGTTTAGTAGCCGCTCACGCGGCTACTACAGCAGTGTACTCCACCATTACCAAGCCGGTCCCCCTTCCCGCTTGCATGAGCACAAACGCCGTTTTCACGGCAACCCAGAGAAATCTCATAAAGAGCATAAAAGCCTCATGTGTAAAAAATGTGCCCGCAACACTGTGTTCACTCATACACAAAAGCACTTCAGTTCCCGTGTTTCACACAGAGCCCACTCTCATAAAGCGGTTCCAACCCGCTCGAGTTTCAGAGTGCATAAGCGCGCCCACGAGCCCGTGTGCGCGTCCCACCTCTGCTTACTCTGTTACACGGGCCATAAACTGCTTACAGTTTCTCCGCCTTCCTCCACGTTTTCGAGCGCGGCTAGAAACTATTGTGAACCCAGAAGCAGTGACGCTGCTCCGTTCAGAGATAGCAAATCTATTGTGCAAAAGGGCTATAGAGAGAGTTCCTCTGTCTATGAGCGAGTCGGGGTTTTACGGCCGTTATTTTCTGGTTCCCAAGAAAGACGGCGGCCTCAGACCAATCTTAGACCTCAGATTTCTGAACAAAGTTCTCATGAAGAGACTGTTCAAAATGCTCACTATCAGAAAACTCCTCGCGCATGTGCGCCAGGGGGACTGGTTCATTTCACTAGATCTGAAAGATGCTTACTTTCAGATTCAGATAAATCCCCTTCACAGGCCATTCTTACGTTTCGCCTTCGAAGGCCAGGTTTATCAATACACCGTCCTTCCGTTCGGCCTATCCCTAGCACCCCGTACGCATGGATAGGGGTGCTAGGGTCAGGGGCTGCGAGTCAGGGGCTGCGAATACTGAACTATTTGGACGACTGGCTGATTTTGGCACAATCACAGAGAGAGCTACTGTCTCATCGTACAGTTCTCCTCGACCATCTGAAAGCTTTGGGCCTCTCTGTCAACTGGACAAAGAGCGCACTACAACCCAGTCAGACTATCTCCTTCTTGGGTATAGAGCTAGACTCGGTCACGATGACGGCTCGTCTGTCAACACAGCGTGCGTGCCGTGTTCAGCGTCTCGCCGCATCTTTTCAGATGAACAGACTCACACCTCTGAAAACTTTTCAGAAGGCGTTGGGTTACATGGCCTCAGCCTCCGCAGTGCTCCAGCTGGGGTTACTGCGCATGCGCCCGCTTCAGCTCTGGTTGAAGAGCCGTGTGTCTCACCGTGCGTGGACCACGGGCCGCCAGCTGATAAAAGTAACGCAGACCTGTATCACAGCTCTGCAGCCATGGACTGTGGCAGAATGGTTTCAGCGGGGCGTTTCCATGGGGACCCTTTCTCGCCGAAAAGTTATCTCGACAGATGCATCCAACACGGGTTGGGGTGCGGTCTACGAGGGCTCACCGGCCTTCGGCCCCTGGTCAGCTCAGGAGAGCCTCCTCCACATAAACTGTTTGGAGATGCTGGCGGTCGAGAACGTGCTCACGCGCTTTCTTCCGCGCATTCACGGTCACCACGTGCTGATCCGTTCGGACAATATAGCCGTGGTCTCCTATCTAAACCGTCAGGGCGGAGTCAGATCCAGTAATCTCTTCCGGCTGACAGAACGCATCTTAGTTTGGTCTCAGTGTCACCTGCTCTCGCTCAGAGCGACGCACGTGCCGGGCCATCTGAACGACGGTCCAGACAGTCTGTCCAGGAACCCCATTCCCCCCGGGGAATGGTCCCTGCACACTCTTACAGTCCAAAAGCTGTGGCGAATATTCGGCAGAGCAGAGGTGGACCTCTTCGCCTCAGAAGAGAACACCCACTGCCCAATATTTTTCTCAAAGAGCGAGGACGCGCTAGCCCAGACCTGGCCCAGCCGCCCGCTTTATGCATTCCCTCCGGTTTCTCTGCTACCACAGGTGCTTCAGAGAATCAGGGAAACACGCCACTCCGTGCTCCTCATAGCCCCGCATTGGGAGGGTCAGACTTGGTTTCCGGAGCTCACTCAGCTGTCACAGACAGCCCCGTGGCCCATTCCAGTCAGAGCAGATCTCCTCTCCCAAGCTCGCGGCACGATCTGGCATCCCCACCCAGAGCGCTGGGCGCTACATGCGGGGTGATCAACAACTACCCGTTGCTTTGCCAGAGGGAGTGTTAAACACGATCATGCAGGCTAGAGCGGCTTCTACTAGAAGGCTCTATGCGTCTAAATGGTCTGTGTTCTCTAAATGGTGCACCGACAGAAATTTGGGCCCACGGTCATGCGAGATTCCTTCCTTGCTAGTTTTTCTCCAAGAGATGTTGGACAAGGGCAGGTCCCCGTCCACTCTCAAGGTGTATGTGGCAGCCGTTGCAGCGTTCGTTGAACCCCGGCGCGGCCAGTCATTGGGCAAAGATGGCTTGGTCATCCGCTTCCTCAGGGGAGCTAGAAGGATGAACCCCCCACGCCCCCCTTCGGTGCTGATTTGGGACCTTTCCATAGTTCTCGAAGCTATGAAAGCCCCCCCCATTCGAACCGCTAAACACCGTGGACCTCAAATACCTTTCGCTCAAAACCGGTTTTCTGCTTGCGCTCGCGTCAGTAAAACGTGTGGGAGACCTTCACGCGCTGTCCATTAGCGCTTCCTGTCTCGAGTTTGGGCCCAATGGGCATCAGGGCTCATTCCACTAGAGGCATGGGCTCATCGTGGGCATGGTCCAGCGGAATTTCCATTCATGACATTTGTGTGGCAGCGGGATGGGCTTCCCCCTCCACCTTTGTCAGATTTTACAATCTGGAAGTTCCCGCCTTGCAGGCTAAACTACTAGCAGTCTAGTATGTTACAGCTCTTCTGGTATAGCTGCACTATAGGGAGTTATTCACACAGACCGGTTTCGTTCTGTCCCTCTCTATCATGTGCTTATGTACTACACAATCTCCGGCCCGCTCTGCTGGCCTTTGTCACATGTACATATATTTATTCCCACTCATAAGGGTTCCCTGGGGTCTCCCCTGGGACTCATAGTGGATGCTTAGCACGCACGGCGTTGACCAGGTGTTCCCGTAGCGTAAGCTAGCTTACGCAATACGAGAGAACCTCTCGTAAGAGAACGCATCGGTTACCTAACGTAACCTCGGTTCTCTCTAGATGAG